TATGTACATATCAACAGGTGTCTCAGTGTGCAAATACATTATCATAGTTGTATACATATAGTCATGTGTTAGCGTTCACGTATGCATAGTAATATTTCTAAAAAACAAAGGGAATATAAAACATTCAAAAAAATGCTGTTCCTATATGATTATTTCTTAGTGTACTTGCTTAGGTTTAGGTTGTTTTTTGCATTGCATTTAAAAATTAGTTCATTGTGTCTATTTAGTAGTATGTCTGGATCTTTTATGTTTGATTATGAAGATTTTCTCTTTCAAACATAAGTTGCATCTGTCTCTGAAGTTTTTGGGAGTTCTGGCTCTTGATATTATTCTCCACTTTATTTGTGGTGTTAGGCCACTCTCAACAAAAACCAATAAGGATTTGATAGTGCTGTTTGTTTTTTTTTTAACATTTATTTTTTTAAGGATTGGCTATGGTTGTATAGTCGGTGTTTCCAATCTCCGCTGATATTCCAATGTATATCTTTTTTTTTTCAACCTTTTCTTTGGGGAAAATTGTTTGCTTCATATATTGTGTTCTCTGCCATGCATATTCCTTCAACTGGGCACTCTGATCCTGTCCTGCAGTTGCATGTTGATTTTTCCATTCGTGTTGTATCCTGATTTTGTCTTAGATTATCCTGAAGGTCTCTTAAAATTTTACTGTTGTGTGAGCTAATAATTCTTTCTATATTGTTCATGCAAGAATAGCTAATCTTTAGATTCATCTTGTTGAATATTTTTTCCGAGATGCATTTTTTTGCTAAAGTGTTTTTCTATCAGCTTTATGAAGTATTTACCTATATTAATATTGGAGAGGTTACAAAAAACTGGGTTGAACCATATAAATTTCCTTTTCCTATTTTTTTAGGGTTTAGTGGATTTTTTTTTTACTGACTTATCTATGTAATTTAGTGTTTGCTTAAAATTGCTTTTTAAATAGGGCTTTATTGTATTCCCATTTATTCTGGTTAAAAAATGGTTTTACTGGAGGAAAGTTTATTTATTCTAGCATTTACTGTATTTGGGATTTGTTTAATTATTGATTTCGGGTGATTGGGTGGATATTTATATATATATATATATATATATATATATATAGGGTGATTGGTTTTCCTTTTGGAAGGGTTTATAAGTATTATTGTTCAGATTAAATGTAACGTCTAGGAAGTTTACTATTTTTTTTGTTGGAAGAAATCTCGATTCTAAATCCTAGAAATTTGAAGGCCCTAGTTATTTTTTTTTTTGTAGTTGGGATGTCAACGGACCATTAGTATTAATTACAACAACTAACCCATATCATCTCTGTATAGTCCTATATTTTGAGGGTCAAGGAATCTACTTAGGATATCTAAAATGTATATACCTATTAGGTCTGCTATTTGAGCTGAATCAAAAGATCCTATTGGGACATCAAAATTGTCTCTATCTTTTTAATCCAAGTAGTGTTGTTCAGTTTTAGTATGGACTGTCTAGAGTCCATTATGATTTTTATTTCTTTGTCAGTAATGTCAGTAATGGATTCTGGCAAAACTTAAGCTATTTTCTAATAATTCTTTAGAGATTGAGGGGTAGAAATCAATGATATCAAGCTGTATAAAAGTAGTATTATTTTTTATTCTTTTTTTTTTTGGAACCAGTTAATGGTGTCTGATGAATCTTTCATCATATATATATATATATATATATATATATATATATATATATATATATATATATATATATATATATATTATTTTCTAAACATGTAATGAAGGAATCATATTTTATATTAATTGATATTAGCATTTTTATATCTGCTATTTTTTTAGAGCTGTGTTATAAAAATTACTGAGTTCTCATGTTTCAAAAACAAGAGCCAAAAACTTCAATATAATTATTAAAATTAAATTGAATTAAAGTATCAAGCTCTGTTTCTAATAAAGAAATATTCCAACAACACAGTAATTTTTATAATACAGCTCTAAAAAATAGCGGATATAAAAATGCTAACATCAATTATAGAAACAATAGCACTAACCAGAAGAAAAACAGGAAAAGAAAAATCATTTGGTATACTCCTCCGTTCAACCAAAGCATTAAGCTAGGACATAAATTCCTAGCTTTAATTGAAAAACACTTTCCTACTATTAGCAGACTTAGCAAGATCTTTAATAAAAACACCTTAAAATTAAGTTACAGTTGCACTGAAAATCTAGAAAGAATCGTAAAAATACATAATAAAATCCTCGGAAAACACGCATGCCAAAATAGCATTAATAAAAACCCTAAACTAAAATTAGACAAAAATAATGAAAAATTATGTGATTGTAGAAACCCTGAAAACTGCTTGTTGGAAAATAAATGCTGCATAAAATCTGTGGTATACCAATGGACTATCTCATCCATTGAGAGTTCTAACACTGAAATGATATATATAGGTTCCATGAAAAATGAATTTAAAATTAGATGGAGAAAACACAAAAGCTCCTTCAATAATATTAGAAATAGAAATCGGACATCCCTATCCAAATATTTTTGGCATTTAAAAGAAATGAATAAAACACCAAAAGTAAAATGGAAAATAATAAATAGAACAAAAACTTGTAAAACCTGGGATGACCCATGCCCTTTATGCCTACATGAAAAAAAAATACACATTAAGTTTCTAAATAATGAAAATTTATTAAGCCATAGACACGAGTTAATGGTTTTTGCTGACATCAACAAATTTTTGCATTAAATAATTAGCATAAAAATTTTTTTAAATTTCATAGTCTAATAAAAGGTTTAAAAGCTTAACCCAATCATAAGATAAAAAACCCTTTATGAAGTTGTCAAAAAAACAAATTGTAGTTCAATACGACGCATTTATATACAAACAACCCTTTTAGAAAAAAAAATCTTTAGACACTTAACTATGTAGCAATAATGCATAATGCTAATAATTCTCTGTCGCTGAAACAGACTAGACGATATGTGTATAATGAATGTCATCATTCGCTTTAATTTAGGCACCACAACCCTACCTTGACTTGACCACTTTCCAAAAATAACTGATATGCTGATACAAATTGTTAACCCTTATGCCCCTTATTGCTTCAGCCATTTCCATAGTAATAAATTTTATGAATGAATATGCTTATAAAGATGCATAAATTTCAAGATCAGTTATTCCAAAAATTTCGCTTGAAGATGAAACAGAGCTTGATACTTTAATTCAATTTAATTTTAATAATTATATTGACATTTTTGGCTTTTGTTTTTGAAACATGAGAACTCTTATGTAGCAAAGGAATCATATTTTTAAAAATAATTATAATTTAGGCTCTGCATTTGTATTGAGCACTGTTTTTTTTTTTAAAATAAAAACAAAAATACTAAAGTACTTCGGATTATTTACCTAATGTGTTCTTTCCTATTTTTCTATATATTTGCACGCACACATACACATAAACACACACACACACATATATATATATATATATATATATGAAAATTTAATGCATAAAAATCTTTTATTTTTTACTTTTTAATTACTTTTATGTACTTTGAGAGTTACTGCAAATCACAATTCTTCAGTTTTCCCTAAAAGGAGACATTGGAAAGGGACACATTCCTTGTCCTGCCATTTGGAAATAGTCTTGTTTGTTTTACATATTACTTGTATTATAATACATTACAACTGTTAATAATTATTATTTTACAATGAGAAGTTGGGTTGCATCTGAAATTTGTTGGAGGTTGTGACTATTATTATTTGTTTACTAGCTTTGCACAATCTTATTACTTTTTACAACACTTTGTACTGACTCTTTGGCTGCTTGTGCAAACAATATGAAATTAAAAATAAAATAGTAGCTTCTGACAAGACTTGAATTAGCATCTCACATCTCCAAGAACTTTTCTTTTATAAACATTGCCTTAACCACTTCAAACAAGCAAGCCTCAATAATAAAGCAGAATATGTATAGTCATTCTGCTATTCACTTCTCTATATCAACTTTATTTTTACCATCTAACAATAGTAGATCTCTTATTTTTTTTTTTTTTTGACTTGAATATTTTGAGAGAAACAATAATCACTTTAGAAAATTAAGTTACAAATGGTATAAAAAAAAAAAAAAATCGGCACCAAAATTCAGAAGTTGCTAAAATATTAAACTGAGTATTTTTTAAAAAGTTTCTTTTCTTTCTTTTGATGAGTTAATGATAATATACATCATTTTGTGACTTGAGCAAAACAGTATGGGTAAAAGTTTTTATTGATTGATTGATTTAAAGCTATAAAATGAATTTAGGCAAAGGATATTAACAAATTTGGCTCAAGTGAATTTCTCTGCATTTGTTGAACGTCTATATCAAATGAGCTTAAATGTCTAAATCTTGGGTGCACAAAATGGAAAACATTCAATGTCTTTTAATCAAATAACTTCATAAACTTTCTTTATTTAGCAGCAATCATAAAAACATTTGACTTTCCATTAGTTTCAAATTAAGCCAAATAACAATGCATTGCATTCCTTTTCCTTTTATTTCATTATCACAAATTGAACTTGGATCAGGATTTTTTTAATATTTACATACTGAAAAGAAAAAAATTAAATTTTCCTTAGTCATAAATTTCAATCTGAAATCAGAATGATTACTATTTAATTTTTGGAAGCAGCCATCATAAAAAGTAAGACTTACTTTCCTCTTGGAAACACTTAGAATTTGTTCCCTTACTAAAATTATTTGAATAATTTTTCTTATTAGATGTTTTGCATTAGTGACACACATTTTAAAAATAATACTTTTTGTGGCATAGTTTTTCTTCGTCATGCCACAATTCAAAATGTATATAAAAAGAAAGAAATAATTCAATGAATAATTTAGTTGATAATTAAAGAACTAATGCCATGACACTTTAATTACATTAAAGTGTCAATATCTATAATATACAGACTTTGAAACAAATATAGGAATATTTATGTTAGTGTTAATTTTTGCATGTGTGTGTGTTTTTTTGTTTTTTTCAGGGCCAGATTGAATGTGACAGTGAGACTGTATTTGAACTCGCTGCTCATGTTTTGCAAATAACATATGGAAATTTTACAACGTGAGTTTTTTTTTTTTTTTTTTTTTATAGTTTAAAAAAAAAATCATACTGATCTTGTGTGCCTGCATGTGTATATATATATATATATATATATATATATATATATTTTAAGGTACACTATATTTTCTTTTCTCCATATTTCATTTTCTGATGAAGCTTAAGTGCAACATGTTAAATTTATTTCCTATTTGTTCCTTATCCTATTGTGTGTGTGTGTGTGTGTGTGTATATATATATACACACACACACATTATATATATAATGTGGAAGATTACATTATGTTTACATTCACTCTATCCCAAATTCCCAAATATTGAGCATTTGTCCCCCATAAATATAGCCTACCTTAAAACTGTCATTCATATATATATATATATATATATATATATATATATATATTTGCCTAAAGCAATAACATTGATATGTATTAAAATGCTAAGATTTCATCGCTTTGAAGTTGAATCCTAATTTGATGCATGCCAGGGTTACATTTGAAATTGTTGCAGCAAATTGGCTTTTGCATTATTTATTTATTGCTATGACTTCAATTGACTTCTATAAAGTTTCAAATTTATGTTAGTTTTGAAAAAGCTTATGATTAGATATGGTGTTTTTTTTTGTTCTGTCTTGTATGCGCTAACAATTACATGAAATAAAAATGAATGGTAAATTACTGAAATAAATCTTACCTGTGTTTTGATTCATCAATCATTTCAAAATATTTCTTTTACATTATATATTGTCTATTAATTTCTAATCAATCCATCTTTGATACTGTTATCTTCAGTGAGATTATAGGCCAAAATATCTGCTTATAAATTTCTAAAAGTTTTAAATAAACAAGTAATCTATACTACTTTATTCTGATAAACATCTATAGTTTTAAGAATATAATTTAAGATTTAATATTCCTATTTTATAATTCATGATATATGAAGTAAATGTTACACTAATGTTGTGTCTTCTTGTTGGAGTGAACCTCATATCAAGTTAATGGCAGAAAAGATAGGGAAAAGCAATATCTATAAGAGGTTTTTCAATTATTCTTTCAAAGCCAAAGGGAATCACAGCAAAAAGTATAGTTCAGACAAAGGAAAGAATGTATGTTACCCTGGTTTATTAATTAGACAGAAAATTGAACTAAATAAAGGACCATATATTAAAAATGTTACAAAATCTTTCTAATATTAAAACTCATAAAATATCTACCATTTCCTTTTGATGCTATTTTACTTGTATTTCACATCAAGCTATAAGGGGGTGATGCAAAGTTCTTGGATCAATAATTTTCTTAAAATCTGATCAAATGACCAAACATCAGATATTTTTTGTATAGGTTCTTGGACAGAAAAAAAAAATTTCTGCACACTCTCATAGAATCTGTTTTCTTGTTTCTACTTTCACATTTCCAATGATTCGTAGACAATGAATGATTGATTCAAAGACTAAATAGTTTGACTTTATATAGCATTATTTATTTCTGTATAGGATAATAAGATATTCTATTTTATTTGTTGTTTTCCTTTTCTAACCAATTTTAATGTTATAAAAACAAATATTGATTCATAATCTCCTTGTCTTTGAGTAAATTAATATAGGGCACTTGTGGGTGAATCTCTTTTTTGCAAACATTTACTTATTAAAAATGAAACTTGTTTTCAAAAAATCCTTTCCATAAATCTTTTTATAAATTATTGCTTAATTTTTATGTCAAAAGTAATATTTTATTTTTATATAACACTCTATATTTGTATTAGGCAGGCTGATGAAAAATATTTATATTTTGACTTGTTTTTTCAGTGCTGATGCTGCTCGGGATGATTTGAAGAAATTATGTGTGGTTCCCACCAGAACATTACAGGAACACCCCTCCCTGGGCTACTGGTAAGAACAATTACTGGCTGCTGCTTGTCTATCCTCATGACTTCATCTGATCAACAAACAAAAACATTCCACTGAAAATGACCTCACATTTGCAATGTTCATTCCACACACCCAAAAAATTAAAAACACAAGCTAAATAACTTTCAATTATAATTGATAAAAAAACGATTTTGAAGGTTGACTTCAAAATTGTTTTTTTATCAATTTCCAAAAAGATTCCATAATTCAATGTACATATTTGAAAAATTCTTGAAATTCCATCAGAAACTTATTTACTTAAAATAAATGCTAAGCATTACTGACTTTTTTGTGATACCTTACTGTTTTAAATAAACTGTTTCAAAATCATTGCAGATGTTAGTACTCTTTACAATTTTGTGTTACTGCTCATAAAAGGAGTTTGTGTTTGGGATAAGAGATGATGAAAAAAATTTTCTTGTATCTCCTAGTGATTAAATATTTTGGGTAATGATAAGTTACATTTTGAATTTTTGCTATTATACTTCTCCCACCAAGCATTTGGGAGGTAGTAAAGATCTTTCTGGATGACAATACTAGTTGGGTGGTTATTCCTCCTTTTGACAGGAATCTCACTTGTATATGTTCAAAAGATAATGAGGCTGAAAGTGTTTTGTGTTTGAAGAAAATCATCAAAGCAACACTTGTTATGGGAGTTTTGATTTACTTGCAAAAATAGCAATCTATCCACTGCACTTTCAAAAATGCTTCTTGTAAAGTGACTGTTTTCTCATGGCCAGTAATCTTGCTTCAATCACCAGTTTCCTGGCCTACCTCAATTGAAACATAATATTTTTGCTTGTTTAAATTTCATGTCTTTCTCTCAAATTGTTGACTTTTTATGATTAAAAGTTGATGTATCTAAAGTTTCTGATTGTTACTCAATTTCAGTTTCAAATTCAAGTATTGCTTTACTCATTATAGTGATGTGTATTATTTCAATTCATGACAACTAGTCACATTGAATGAAATATTTTTAGAGCAACATGGAACAAATAATTAAGATATTTGAGTGAACTACTTTCCTATGTTAATATTCTTCGAGCAATTGTTGACCCAAATAATTCAGCAGATATAGAAACTGCAAACACTGTTTGTTACAAGAGTCCATATTTGACACATAAAGTACTTAACTGCTAAATTTACTCATTGTTGTGGGGGAATAATTTGAAAACCATTAACTCTTTCTTTAAACACTTGGCAAAGCAATTTTATCCACTTGTTACTGGTCCTACTTTCTAGCAATTGGTTGTTAATGGTGAGGAACCTGCCTTAGAAAAATATTCACTTCCAGTCTTAAATGTGAAGCTTATTCTCTCTAAAGGAAACTTGTTTACTCATTTGCAGCTATTGTTCTTGTACATGTACTTTTTATTTTAAGCAGTGTAAGTAAATTGAAATTTTTCTGCTTGTTTGCTTTTCATGGAATGCTTTCTTATTTTTAAAATTAGCTCTGCTTTCTCCTCCACTACCCCATCTCCATCTAGTAAGATACAATAATTGCTTATTTGATCCATAATATCTTTTACTTTTTCATATAAATTGTAAATCAACAGCATCCGATTATCCCAGAGAAAATAAAAAGAAATAAATAACTTTAAATTTTAATCTGTTTTTTCTTTTACTTAAAATACATTGAGAATATTCTGTTTGATGCACATAAAAAAGAGAAAATAATATAGATTATAAATGTTTACAGGTGCATTTTTTTTAATACTTATATCCAATTGTTGATTTAGATTTAAGCTTTTAATCTTCATTTCAGTTTTACTAAATAAATTTGACTGTACTCATTAGATTTTAAGTGATAAGAATTCCAAAAATCATTTCTAAGAGGGGATGGTGACAAACATTGTCACCATCCCTCTTAGAAATGATTTTTGGAATTCTTTTAAGTTCCTGTTTTCAGAATTGGCTATGAATTTGTAACTTGATAAAGTTTTCTTTATTTATAAATATTCTCCATTCCAGAAGACTCTTTTCAATTTACATCAAAATGTTCAATTCAAAAACATGATCATTCAAAACAATCTTTTGAAATAACATATTTCATTGAAAAATTTTAAATCCTGTTTTTTCTTCTTTCCATATTTTATTTATTGATGAAATAAAATTAGATTCTTAAAGATTTTCTTTAGTTGCATAATCTCTTGATTTTGTTCTTTGTATAAAACTGTTCAAACATATATTTCTTTCAATTCAAATATGCAATTCTGACCATTTCTTTATATCTGAGATTCAGATGAGTTTTTATGCTAAATTATTATTAAAGATATTTAATAGTAAGAGAATTGTTTTTTCTCTTCCATCTATTTAATTAGATGAATAGAAACCATACCAACAGCCAATGTTTATCCAAAGTGATAAGAGATTTTTGAGAGTATAACTTGCAATTTGCATTAAATAACTCCAGTAACCACTTTTAGAATCAATATTCCAACAAGGTTGTAAGATACATTTCACCCTTGATAAAGTAATCAGTTAATGGTCATCCTATAAATTGTTAAATTTGATAGCTATTTCAACATAAAATAGTGGTTAAAGAGAGTTAATTATCTATTGGTTGCTTCATGATGATAGCTTTGTGTTAAAGTTGACAGTCTCAAAATTATAAAATGTTGAAAAATTATTTTGAAAACAATGGTCATAATAGTGAGTGTATATTTGCTTATACAAGAAAAGACCAAAACTATGAAATCTGTGGCAGCAAATTATTATCAATTTTTATGAATTATTAAACATCCTTTTACATTCAAATCACTAGATTAATGTTGTAATTCTCTTTTCAGAATATTTCATAGAATTATATTTCTGTCTTTGAATCATTTCCAAAACAGTTTCCTTTAAATTTATTTGACAACTGCATTTCTCTTTTAAATTAAAAGGTTTTCATAATATATATTAATATCAGGGAACAAAATAAATTTGTCAATATAATACTTAAGTTTTAAAATTCTTTTAAAACTCAGATTATTATTTATTCTCATAAACTGAGTATATTAGACTAAATATTTTATTTTCTTATAGATAAAATCCTCAATGTCTCACTTTTCACTTTTGCTTTGTATTTGCTTTCTATTATTGTATATTTATTTAATGATTCTATGATTTCTGAATCCGCCCAACAATCATTCATAACACATTTTAAAAGGATTTGAGGTTTCTTGTGCATTGAGATTTGCTTTTTATTGCTATTTTGGAATTTCTTGACATGATTAAAATAAATCCATTATAAACTGTTTGGAGTACAAATTTATACTGATAATTTCAATTTTGAAAAAGAAAATTAAATGGAGTTATTTTTATTTTGGAGGAGAGGAAAAGTAGTGGAGGGGGTATCTTTGTCCTGTAATTATTTTTCTCTTCTGCCAAACTCATTATTTTTATATAAATACCTAAACAAAGATAAATCATTCCAAAAGTGAAAAGAATATTCATTGACAAATGAAAATATAACTCTAGCAATAACAAATTTCTCTCAACAAAATTAAATGTATCTTATAATTTTATAGAAATTGTTGTAATTGAAAACTGACTTTGAGAAAATATTTTATAACTTTTTATCCTTTTTTTTCTTTCCAGTGAGGAAAGGGTGTTATTCCATTACCAAAAACTTGAAGGATCAACTAGAGGCTTAGCCATTGTCAAGTATGTCTTATTTGGACAAAATGAAATATTTTTTTTTATTTAATCATTTCACCCCAAGCAAAGCTATAGTGCCACTAAGACACCAAAGGCTACTGAGAGTAAAAGAAAATGAGAAGAACTTAGTGAGGATAAAAAAACAATAAAAGAACAATTCAAGAAGACAGAAGATGGTGATTGACATTGCATTTAAATTTTTAAAGATCTTAGCTGGCAGGGAGCAGAAAATCAGAAGAGAGTTTCATGGATGAGAAGTGCAAAGAAACTATTAGAATAGAATTTACTGTTACATTCACAGCTAGTTCAACAGTAAAATGAGGAGACCTAGTTGCCAATCTAGTAGTACACTTAAATTCATGCTGTTGAAATACCAAGGAGGAGAGTTCATTAGTACACTTGCCTTGAAAATATTTATAGAAAAGTTGGAGGGAACTCACATTATGGAGGTAGGAAAAGGACTGAAGTCAAGATGCCAGGTCAGGACTGATAAAATTACAGATCCTTTTTTGGATTTTGTTGAAAATCTCTAGATGTATAGCATGAACACCAAAACAGATATGATAGCAATATTCAGTGCATGGACAAATGGTAGATGTATAAATGTGCAAGATGAATTCTGGCAGGAAAAATTGTTTAACATGACACAGTGAGCAAACTTTTCTCACATCAGACCTAGCAATTGATTCAATATAATCATTGCACTTCATGTCAATGAGAAAAATGAAACCAAGAAGCTGCAATGAGTTGCTCTCCTGAAGGTTAGCATCAGCCATGCAAAAGGCAAAAATTGTTCTCTATGATCAATAAAAGGTAGTGGCTTCATTTTAGAGGTGTTAAAATTTACAAGCCAATTCATGCCCCTGTTAACAACTGATTAAAGGTAATTTTCAAGAGCAGCTCCCTGTTTTACTGTGTCAGACCTATTGGACTTACTATAAAAAATAGTTGTGCCATCAGCATAAATACCTATTTGGGAACTGATGACATCAGGAAGGTCATTGATGATGATAAGAAACAACATATGTCCAAAGATAGAGCCCTGGGGGAGCCCTACATTGATGTGAAATGATCTAGAAATGTGGCTGTTCAATATGACTATCATTACACAATTTATTAAAAATGATTGGATTATATCAAATATCTGACCAAAAGCCCCATAGCCTTTGAGTTTAAGAAGGCCCATCATGCCAAACCCTGTCAAATACCTTCAAGATATCTAAAGCCGCAAATCTAACTTTTTTCATCTAAAGCTTGATAGACAAATTCAGTGTTTTAGAAAAAGTTTTGTTATGTATTTTGGTTTATAATTGGTACAATTTATTTTTTTGAAATATTCTTAAATTAAAAGTAATCTTTAAAGATCTTAAATGTCCTTGTTGCTTAACAATAAATGATGTCTTCATTTTGTTTTGTTTCAGTTATATGACAATATGTGAAAGTCTTCCAACATATGGAATCCACTATTATGAAGTGAAAGTAAGTTTGCTTTCATTTTCTGCTCAATCGAGATGTTACTGTTTCTATAATGTTTTTTGATTACAAAAAATGTTAGTGCCTTATAATCTGATGTTTCACTAACTCTATCGTATGAAATGTTTTCTTTAATACTCATTTACAGTCAGAATATTTTTAAATTTTTACATTATGATGTAAATAAGCCATAATTTTGATTGAAAAACGTTTCTTCAGCTGATTAATGTAAAAAGAGAATTTTGCCTGTCAAATTAAATGCAAGATGCACATTTTAGTTACTGCTACACATTAGGTACTTTCATTAAAGTAGTAATGATTAGAATGAAAATGCATTTTTTTATATGAAACAAATTTATTGCTATGTAATATAAAAATACCTTGAATCTTTACCCTCTTAGATTGGCCAAAAACTTTGTTCTATTTTTGTCAATAGATAACATTAGGAGTGTAGCTAACATTTAATATGTATATCAATTTTAATAGTTTTTAAAAAATATCAAAATACAATCAAAATTAGCATTTCTTTTATTATGTCATTAAAGAGAGAATAAGAAATGTCATATTATTTTGCATATTATGCACTTTTTATTTTAAAGGTAAAAATGTGGCAAGAATACAAAAAGGATTTCTCTCTGATTGCTGTTCTGTAGTTGGATAAACAAGTTAAGGTTGATAGTAATTGAATTGATATACGAGAATAATTAATTTTGAACAACAAACTGAACATATCCCAAAATCAAGTATTGAATATCAGTTTGTATCAGCTTAGACATGTTACTCACTTTGATGTATGGCTTCCACTGCAAATCACAACTCAAACATAAAGTTGTTTTTTAAACATATGATGAGTGCATATTTTATAATGTGGAATAAAAAATATCATGGAACAAATAAAATGAACCACTATTAACTCTATCAAAAGCTGGCCTTCATCTAAATTTAATACTGTGTATATAGTTGGATTGGAAAACATGCTAAGAGCTCCTGGAGAAACAAACAGTTGATTTTAACAGATATAGCTCTCACTTAGACTGATTAATGGTTACATTTGAAGAAAAACATTTAGTTATGAGAAAGAGCATAATATTCCATTAAGGTAATATATATATATATATATATATATATATATATTTCTTTGAAAACTTTCAATTCTTTAGAAAACTACAAAAGGCACTTTGCTAAGAAGGATAAAGATTTCTGGGAGGATGTAATTAGGAAATTGGCTGAAATATGGTAGAGAAATTAGTGGAACAATATAGTAAATATATTGTTTAATAAAGTTAATGTTGGAATAAACAAATCTCTTTTTTTATTTTAATCAATAAACTAAAACTTCCTGGACCATCTGATATTTATAGACAGAATTTTAAAAGTATTTAAACTGAAAAACTCTAGTACTCTTCAGTTAAAGATAAACTGAGAATCCGAAATAAAATATTTTTATTCTTAAAATCAGACAAAAATTCTGGACATAGAATATCTGTACAAATTCATTAAGTAGTTTAGCTTGTATAACAGGTTAATCATTGTCTTTATATAAATAATATTTCCTGGTGTGAGAGTGTGGATATGAATTTCAGTTATTATTTAAATGTATATCCTAATAGTGATTGAGTTTCTGAATGTATTCAGTTACTATTACCACATGGAAATTGGCTTATGCGTCAGTTCTTTTCTCAACCTTTGGAGATTTGGTATGGTTGCTTCTGCTAAGTCTTTCTTTTTAAATCTTATGTACATATGAAGATAAGACTTGGAATTAACAATAATGTAGGTATTCTCTTTGAAAAAAGAATAGCAATTACTGTTTATTTGTCATCATTGAGATGAAGAATTATTTTAGGCTTTATTATTCAAATGAGCATATCCATCTTGGTCGTTATACTCAAAACATATTAACCCTGCTTAAATTGTTTATCTTCCTACTCAGTAACCTTCTTAGAATTTCAGATTGAACCCTAAATTCAGTCCATGGGGTTAGATTGTTCTTATCCAGCTTTCCATGTGTAGTGAACTACCGCAGAAAGCAGAGAGGCCCAGGGTTGCATGTATTTTTTGAAAGGTTAGAACAAAATCAAGAATAAAATAACTTACCTCCAATGCAAGCAAAGATTCAAACATGCCTTGCAGTGTAAACTGTCCAAAGGAGAAAGAAATGGTGGCTTTGCAGGTCACATATGGTCTCTCATGCGATTATCTTTGCACATATGCAAATTTTGGCTGTCATTGATACATAAAAACAGGGAGAATGAGGCGACAAGGCATTGAGGAAAAAAGATGGTTGACTGCTGTGTTGAACTGGCTACAAGTGTTGCAGACAAGAGAGAAGAAACTGATTGAAGGTATTGATTGCGATAATTTTTTTCCTACATCATGCTTAGAGGATATTTTGTATCAGTTCATACTCACGACTTTTATTCACTTTTGTGTTACTTGTTTGTTTCTTCCACTTAAATAAAGTATGTAACTATTTAGCACTACCAGAACTCACAAATGCCAGGAAATACTATGTTTTAAGCAATGCTTTATCTACTAGGCCATATTCACTTGGATAATGTTGAAATTTGTGTTATAATAATAATAATAATAATAAAAAACTGTAAACTTATTGTAGCAATTAACGTCTGCAATCGAACTTTTTAATTCAGGGAGACAGGCATTTATTGCTTCACCTTTCCCTGGGATTAAAAATAAAATAATTGTATAATTGTTGACAAAGTATCCTTTAAAATACCTAAAAAGAGTTGGTAAACAATTTAAAGGATATGGAAATTATTATTCAATTTATGGATAACAACATAAGTGGTATAATTTTAGTGTAAGTTCCTATTTGTTGACCTAGCTGCCAATGATGTTGGTGGAAAAATTTGTTTATCTTTTTTTAACTATAAATCTTAAGGTTAACATTTAAATATCTTAAGGAAAAATTTTCTGAATAAAATATGAAGGGAAAATATTTTATTGCAATAGAATAACTCATAAAAGAATAAAAGCTTATATCAATTATAAAATATATTAAAAAAATATAAAATTAGCTCTTGTGACTCATTAAAATTGTGGTGAAAAATGGGAATCAAAACAAATAATCCAGTTCAAATCTTAAATTCAAGAAAATAAATGTTTGCATATCTGGTTATCTCCATGTTCACAAATATCTTGTTAAAGTTCAGTTTTAATGCAAATTAATGTCACTAAAGGCAGTGTAACAGTTAAGGTATGGTCACTGTGCCAGACCACACCAAACATGATTGGAAAACCAAAATTTGTAAATATAGAACATAATTTTACTAAATTCTTTTTCAAACTCAGTTAATTAAGACAGTTATGGGAAACTGGTATATGTCACTAAATTAAATATTTTCTTCTAGATAAAATCCTCATATCTCACTTTTCACTTTTGGGATTTATTTAATTTGATTAAAAATTATACTTATTTAATGATTCTATGATCTTGAGGTCAAATATTTCCTCCATTCATAAGATCATTTAAACTGGAAATTGAATCATTTCTTGTGCAAAAAAATGTTTTTAATGCTATTTTCAAGAATTTCCCCAACTATTGTAAAATAAATCCATAACATAACTGTTTGAAATACAAATTTAAATGATAATTTCATGAAAGAAATCAAGATGCCAGGTCAGGACTGATAATATTGCAGATTCTTTTTCTTTGTCAAGAATCTCTAAATACATAACAGTAGTACCAGACTAGATGTGTTTTTTTTTATTCAATGCATGGATGAATGGTATTAATAATTATGAATTCAATTAATAAATAATATTTACATACATGTATAAAGGTGAATTATTGAAAATTATATACCTATATAATGCTAACACTCTAATCTTGTTTGTGTGTGTGTTCTCGAAATACAGCTTAAATGATACATAATACCCCAACCAATTTAAGAACATATTGTACCTTGAACCCCTGCCAAGTGCAGTGTCAAATTTAATTAAGATTAAACAAGGGGTTCCTTGAACTAGGGCCTTTTTTCTGTTTTGACAGCATTTTTAATAGGAAATACAGTATTTGCTTTCGATACATGTTCTTATATATACAGTATTTGCTTTCAATACATGTTCATTTATATAAAGAAACACTTGCATATTATATTCCAACAATTAGGTACATAAAAAATAATAAAAATTCATAATACATTATAACAATATTAAATAAATTTAAATATGCATAACACAACATATATTTATACAATTCACTACACTACATTAGAACTTTCTTTTGTAAACAGCTACTTGAAAGGTGGAGAGGCTGTATGAGTCACATGACTTGATGGTAAATAAATAGATGCACGATAGTTTGCTGTTGTTACATATTTTGAAATAAATGTGAAAACGAAATAAGTATGTATAATAAAAAACGTTTTTGAAAAAAAACTTCACCCATTTTAAGCTATTACTTCAAATTTTCATGCAATGGGTTAACTATGAAACCCAGTTGAACAATAAACATTTTAATCATCTTTAAATACAAATTAAAATGTGTAATTAATAATAAAATTGATAATACTCTTACGTCATTAGTTTGTATTATGACCTGCTTTTAAAAAAGAAAACACAACGGGTTTATAGGTCATCTTAGTTATCAACTCAAAGGCCATGTAAACTTGTTGTTGGTGAAGTTGTATAAAAATCCGCTAATAAAAATATGTAACTTAATAAAGTGCTATGTCACAGCTGACTGCGTATTTTGTGATTTTAACAAAGAACAAGCAAGGTTAGATGAACTTGAAAATCAAATAAAAAAAACAAAACGAACAGAAAGAGGAGAAAGATTTCTTATCTTTTAATCTATATGATTCTCTTTCTGCTAAACACTGTCTGAGGCATGGCATGTTTTGCAATTAGAACAATTTAGCTTCATGACTAAATAAAGCGTTTAGTTGGAAATTCCCAATATCACCTGAAGAAGGCTGGAGTGTACAACAGTTGAAACGTTGTGAATATGACAATAAAGTTGAGCACAATTTGAACCATGTAAA